GCTAAACTCGTGAAATACAAAGTTGGGGCCCAAGTCCGCAAAGCGTGCTGATTGGACTCTCGCGAGGATGGCATCTCGCGGGCGAGATGTGAAGCATCCAAACACACCCGGTGCTCAAATTTAAGCGAGATTACAAAACAGAATGGTCGTAGCGAGGCTCATAGCAGCGCGCGCGAGCAACACCGTGGGGTCAGACGATTGAACTGCTGCACTGATCACGTCGCGCTCGCTTGTCTCTACATTCCCACGCCTCGTAAAACGGGTTTCACATGCAGCGATTCCGCGGCCTAAATCGCTGCCGCTAGCGGCGCGGCGGCACCGATCGCGAGGTTTTAAGCGGGTTTCACGTGCAGCGATTTTGGCCCTACAGAGGGGCGCGATTTCTGCCGTCGCGGCGCTCTGGCCAGCCGCAGCGGCTGAGCGGCACGGTTCCACCAGGTTAAAAACTTTTCCCCCTCGGCGGAGCGGCGGCTTCCCTGCTGGCCCTCACAGCGCGGCGGGAAATCACGTTACAGAAGGTCAAGCTTGCGCATAGAACAGCAGCATTTTCACGTTCTTGAAGCAAACGACAAGCAGAGAAAGTACGCAAGCGACTGGTTGGCGGTTTCTTTTTTTCCGGCGGGTCGAGGTTATTTGCTTCAGCAGTGGCGTCGGGACTGTTAAGGTGATTATGGAGGAGGGAGATTGCAGTCGCCTTCCTCGGAATTTGTTCTCTCAATGAAACACGCGGCTCTTTTTAACTCTCCTCGTCTGAGTACCAAGTGTAGCGAGCGCAAGAGACGCTAATCGGAAGCGGCTCGTGCGAGCGCTAGCGAGAAAATTAAAAGACGATGAAGAACTGAACGACATTGACGTGTCTCTTTTAACACAGATCGTCCACCAAGTAAGAAAATGTATCGCGCCCAGTTCAATGAACTGCTTATAAGTGGAGTGTCAATGCGTCGGGTTCTTTGGGACGCGCAGCTCAAAACATTTAGAAACAATGGGACCAAAGAGAAACTCTGAAAGAGGAGACTGAGGCTTCGAAAGGTGATCGCATCTGCTTGCTGCAAGCAACATTGGCCATCGCAACGGCAGACAAGGCTCATGTGAAATGAAACCTCGCGATCCGTGCCGCCGCGCCGCTAGCGGCAGCGATTTCGGCTGTGGAATCGCTGCATGTGAAACCCGCTTCATTTCACATGAGTGTTTTCTGCCGTCGCAATGGCTAATATTGCTTGCAGCAAGCAGATGCGCACAGTCCCTTATTAAAACGCGAGCATATCGAGGGGCTTTAGCGCACAGTCGTTTACAGCGGCTTCTAACATCATTTTTAATGCCTAAGTTTTCAGTTTCCCTTTTAATTTTACCTTAATAAAAAAAAAAAAGCGCTAAAATACTAAATAAACCTTGGTCTTATTTGTTTGTTTTGTTTTTGTTTTTTACAAACTTTTTCAAGCTCCAACTGATATGTCCGACCCGAGCCTCCTGGACCCGAACCTCCCGTAGTACTGCGGTGGTTTCATACCGGTCTTGTTGATCACTTTCACGGCCTCAGTCGCCTCTTCTCAGAGTTTCCTTTTGGTCCCATTGTTCCTAGATTCTTTGAGCTGCGCATCCCAAAGAACGTGACGGTTCGAGACTGATAAGAAGTTCACTGAGCTGGCGTGATACCCCCCCCCCCCCCCCCCCCCCCATTTTGTCTTACTTAGTGTAACTATCTGTGTTGGAAAAGACACGTCAATGTCGCTCAGTTCTTTTGTTTTTCTCACTAGCGCTCGCACAAGCAGCTTCAGATTAGGGTCTATTGCGCTCGCCACAGTTGGTACTCAGGCGAGGAAAGTAAAAGATAGCCGCGTATTTTATTCAGAAAACAAATTTTGAGAAAGGCGACAGCAATCCCCCTGGTCCATAATCTCTTGAACAGCGCCGACGCGACTGTTGAAGCAAAGAAGCTCCACCCGCCAGAAAAAAAAAAAAAAAAGAAACCGCAAACCAGTCGCTTGCTTACTTTCTCTACTTGTCGTCTGCTTCAAGGACGTCAAAACGCCGTCGTCCTATGCTCCAGATTTCCCGCAATGTTTCTCCTCCTGCCATGTGATTTCCCGCTGCGCTGTGAGTGGCCAGCGCGAAAGCTGCCGCTCTGCCGCAGCTAAAAATTTCCAACCTGGTGGAACCGGGCCACGCAGCCGCTGCGGCTTGTCAGAGCGCCGCGACGGCAGAAATCGCGCCGCTCTAGGGCCAAAATCGCTGCATGTGAAACCCGCTTAAGAGTCAATGCTGTCCAGATTGTTCCTAGGAGGGCAATGAATGCTCTTAACTAGAGCCTCTAAATGAGCCGCGCTTACCGCTCATTCACACTGGAAACGGATCCGCGTTCGCAAAGCGGTTGCGAACGCGGTTGTATAAATATCCAGAACAATTGCACGCGCACTTGATGTCATGGAGTGCGCGTGCAATTGCACTGAATCTTTATACAACCGCGTTCGCAACCGCTTTGCGAACGCGGATCCGCTTCCAGTGTGAATGAGCGGTTACAGTATCGGCAGTCTGTTTCCCGACATTGTTGTAAGCGCCGCCACTTTCGGGCTTGTACGGAGAAGACGCAACTGCCGATCATGATGACTCAAAAGTTCGACTTTCTCAGCATTTCATTCGGTGTTCGGAAGCTCATGTGATTTTGCTTTGGTTTCTCGCGAGCTGTTTAAGCATTTGTGGAGGACAGAAAATCGTTTTCTGCACTTTCAGATAAACATTAAGATAACTGGCAACCATAATTTTAAGAAACAATATGGGCAAGTGTCGTTACTCTGAAGCCGAGTTTATTTAGTGGCACTACTCAACTTTCTCGTCGCAAATCGTCGTTTGGGGAAGTTATGGGTTACGACAAAGTGACGTTTCCCAACTCTGGGATAGAGTTGATTTTTTTGCTAATTGTGTAAATAATCATACTTTCTTTAATATCTGTAACTATCACATACAAAACATTTTTTTGTGAATTCACATTAAGCCATTCTGTAGATCATCTACAAACATCTGCTGCAATGCTGACAAAGACTCGAGCATGTGGTTTTGGAATTTGAGTTCTATCACAGCCTGCACTATACTCACAAAGTTTGGCAGTTCGACGAGGGAGCCATAGAGTGCCCAGTCGCAGATTTTGACCGCGAGGATCTGGTAGCACAGGGAATCAAAAAGCCAAATCTCGGAAAACCTGGACGTCAGCGCACAACTCTTGCAGCACCGAGGACCCGAAACACTTTTGTTCGCTCAAGAGAAGAGTGTTTCGGCGTCTCGCCGCAGCAGGGTGCCAGTCACGTTGCTCTCCTAGTCCTGCATTGCACCGCCATGACGCCATGATGGGATGAGGCGCTGCGCGTACACAACAAGGTGCCTAGCCAAAACAACTCACGCCGGGCCAGACAGACTGCGGCAGTCACACAGGCGGCACTCGGTCCACCAGCGGCATCGGCCCCAGTGCTTCCCTTACTACCGCAGGCACTGGGCTTCCATTCATGAACAGATCACGGGAACACCACAGATGGATGGATTGTCGACGCCACAAAGCGACGACTAGAAAATTAGTGGAAAAGTAGAGAAACGCGTTAAAAGTGAAAGGTACATGGCTTGGACACGACATCCGTGACAACCCATTTCAAAGGGGACAGTCACAAGCATCATCATCATTATCATCATCATCCTCTCATCAATTGTCTGTCGCTCCACCTTCTCTATTTCGGCAGCCACTTCTCGTGGCGATCTGCCTGGCTTTGTCAGAATATACACCTTTTCCACAAGGGCGCAGCCATCTTGAATGTCGTCACCTCTGTCATGCGGTAAAACATTGTTCTGATCTCTCGACGCCACTGAAGGTGTTCACAAAAAAATGCGTGATTGTCACAGATTTTTGTTTTGTATGGCCTATATTTCCTCACATATTCCAGGTTAAAATGCCTTATTATTTTTTCGTCCTGCGAACCAGATACGGAACCCACGTGACTGTGAACGACAGGAAACAGAAAACGTATATAGGAGGCTATGGTTCAATGCGTGAATTCTGCTACAAACAAAGGTATACCAGGGAGCTAGGCTCATGCGCCTGAGCCCTTGTCTGCACTGTGGATGGTTGTGAGGGAGAGCAGAGCCGTATATGTAGAGAGTTTGGCCATTCATTGGGAATTACAGGAGACAAATTAGAGGGCGCCATTGGCCGAAAGAGGGCTGGGTGTGTTCCGGGGTGTCTTCAAAAATTCGGATGTGGCCAACCGGAAGCCTGAAATAATATCCTGGCGGCGGTCACGAGAAACAAACTTAATAAGTGCATAGGAACAAATCTCTGTGATTGAAAATATGGTTATGGTACACGTGATGTTGCAATCAAGGGCATCCAAAATCATGGTGGAAGAGTGCGACTAGCGGAACGATTGAGATAGCCCGTACGCCAGGCGCCGGGGACCGCGAATGTTCCGTCCGAGCGATCACACTTAGTCAGAGCAAAACACATCTTGCATCTTTCTGCATGAACATGATCGAAACATCACGTGCACCTTATTTTCAACCTGAAGGGCTACTACATTTAACTCTTACGCGCCTATTAAAACCATATACCCATGCACGCCCTCGCTCTGCCCGGCCCTCCCATTGACCAAACTCTCTCTATACACGGCTCTGAGGGAGAGCATAGAAGACAGTGGAAGAAACACATGTTTCTGCCACCGTGGCATAGGCAGGACTAGAGTGCCTTCATGTGTGCTTTGCTTAGGGTGGGGAAATCTTGCCAATTTGTTCCGAACGTTTATTTTTCTTTGTGTTCAGAAGTACGTGAAATATCGTGCCCCTGCACGCGCTCGTGGAACTGACTGTGCTACGGCGACATTTTGTTTTTTTTAGATTTCTTTCTTGTTTTTTTTTTGTGTTTTCCCTTTGAGCGCGTGCTGTCGGCATCGGGTACTAAAATTGGTGGCATCACCCTCAACAGAGGGACATTGAGCCAACCTAGGCAGTACTCATGATCTAGAGGACTACAAGGTGACGCTGTTGCCCGCCTTCGTTAAGTCGCAGAGCTCCAGACAGTCATCCTTCTCCTTTGCAACTTCTGGCACCTGCAAAAAAAGAAAAAAAAAAAGGAAGCTTTTATTTTAGTCTTATTGGGACATCGCGTGGTTGGTTCGTTGAATCTGAACAACTAAATTCAGAGGGTTGAAGCTCTAAGATGTAAAAATCCTTTCTGAGGGGCATTCATATTATGTAATCTTTTTCGTTATAGTGGAGATGAGGCTGTTACTTTAAATTTCTAAATGTTCAAATAACGAGGGAAGACATGGGGAAACGAAATGAGAATAAAGTAGAACACACCTACCCAGTGTTTATTCACTTGTATATTTATTCAATATATCCTTCTGCGCCCAAAGGCATCACAGAAAAAGAGGAAAGAGGGGGGGGGGTAAATGAAGTGAAAAACAAAGAGTAAAAAATCTAGGTTTATTCAGAAAAATGTACAAATGTTAGGAACAATACAAATAAAAATAATTATACATTGAATAATAAAGTTGACACAATCAGGTGACCAGATTCAAGCACTCGTCAATAAATCTGAAAAAAAAACAGTGTTTGATGATAACGTGACTCGCGACTCGGTTAGGCAGCTCCATTGATGAGTGGTAAAAAGAAAAAGGACTATTCGAATATGAATATTCGTGAACCTTTATGTGATGGTCTACCCTGCGGGGAGATGAAGTGCGGAGGTTGAAGAAATCTTCCTTTTCTATGCCCGTACTGTTGTTACATATATTTGAAAAGCGTCTTAGACATAACGCGAACCTAAGGCATTTTAGCAGTTTGCATCTGAGAGAGTCTTTTGAGCAACTCGAGATGATATACAGTCTGGTCATAAATTCCGAACACGAATCCTGCGGTCCTGTTGTTTACTCCTTTGAGGTCATTACAAAGGTATTGTGTTTCTGGATCCCAGTGTACACTAGTGTATTCAAGACTGGGCCCTATATTCGTCATATATAGTGTCTAATTAACTTTGGGAAGGCAGTTTCGAAACTTGCGTCCTAAAAAAATGCAACATATACAATGGCTTAGCGGTGATTTGAATAATATTAGACTGCCAAAATAACTGTTCTGTAAAATGTACCCCAACATAATTTACCTCTGGGGTAACAGTGAGCTTAGTTTCAGTGAGGTGGTAACTTGTACGAATGAAGCAGCCGTTCATTTTCTGTTTTGTAAAGCACTCATGATGGCATTCATTAATGTTTAGTTAATTAGTTTTATGTGCTCCATTTGACACCGCCCTGAAATGCAGTCTATTATAAGAATCACCGACAGATCGATAAGCCACAGAATCGTTGGCATAAAGACAAATATTTGAATTTCTGCATTTATGCCCTCGGTGATATTGTTAATGTAATCAGAGCATAAAAGGGGACCTAGAAATGATCCCTCCGGAAATCTTGAAGTGACGTTCACGTACGTTGAGTTTTTACTTTGTACTACAAAGGTCTATTTTCCCTCAGCAAAGTTCTGTTTAAACCATAATAATACATTACCTGGAATATTTATTGAGGATAATTTAAGTAAGATTAATTCGACTGAAACTGAGTCGAACGCTTTTCTAACATCAAGAAAGGCGCAATCCACCTCGGAACGTGTATCGTATGAGGACACTAGATCAGGAAATCATTCTAATAATTGTGTTTCGCGCGAAACGCCGCTTCGAATACCATGCTGGACGGGAGAAAAATACATGTTTGCGTTCAAATGATTGATTAAAGTTATATATTATATGCTTTAACTGTTTTGAACAGGCAGATAAAAGGGATATAGGTCGGTAGTTTTCAACTTTACTCTTAGAACCGCTCTTATACACAGGCATGCACAACGCTGCGTACCTTCCATTCTGCAGGTAGATTTGAAAATGACAAGGACTTTGTGAACAAAATGAAAAGAAAACAAGAAGCAACGTCGTCGCATTCCTTTAAGACGCGATTCGGAATTTCGTTAGGACCAGCAGCCTAATCTGGGCTCACGTTAAGGAGGCCCCGGATTTGGTCAGCATTTGTTTCAATGTTCGCCATTGGAGATAAGGGCTCAGCCAGGTACTACTGTTGCCCGTTCGGCATTAGTTCGGAGAAAATTGATTGGAAGTAATTATTGAAGTACACTGCTTTCTAAATGTCATCAAAACACAATCTGCAATTACTACCAAATAGCGGTATACCAGCCACTTTCTTCCTGTATTTCCTGATATATTTACAAACAGCTTTAGGATTTGTTCAGGCGGTGTTCCAGAGAATTATCGAAGCTTTCTTTCTCCGTTTCTAACTGGTGTTTTTATGTATTATTTAATTGTTTTAGTTGTCTGAGATGCTCGAGGGTTAGTTAGGGTTTACAATATCTTAAATAAGCACGCCTTTTTTTTTTTTTTTACGACGGCCCTTAGTTTGCAATTTACCCAGGGCTTATATTTATTCTGCCTTGACCACAGTATTTTTGATGGTACGTAAATATCAATTAAATACTTTAGCTTATAAAAAAGCATATTTCAAGGATTGTCAATATCTAAAGACAGGCCGAGTTCCTAACGCGGATTCGTCATAAGCAAGCAAAACATAAACACTGAATTTTTATTGCAATTTTAATTGGCAACACAAAAACCGTGAACCGATGTTTTTGTAGTAAAACTCTATGCTCTTCTTTTTTATTTATTTCCTTCCAAATGTGTAAGATTAAAAATTAATACAAAATGAGTGGTCGACGTTCAACTAAGTTAAAAGGGTCATGAAACAATTTTCCTACTTCTTCCTCCTTAGCTTTAATCCTCAACTCAAATGCGAATTCTGAAATCACGTGGTCGTGACATTCCTTCGGCACCGGTGCGATGACTCCTAGGTTCCACCGTGCTTTTTATGCACACAATAGAACTCGTCATTCCCCAGTGACAATAAGTTCCGTCAGGGCACTCATTGGTCACGAACGCGAATCCAAATATTCGTCGACGGGTTGATATGTTGACGAGCGCATACATCCGAGTGACGCATTTCTCGTGTCCAGTGCGTGAGCTGGGCTCTGCTGGCGTCAGTTTGGCGCCGGTGACGCGCTTTTGGAACCGCGGATGTATCATAGTGAAAAGGCGGAGACCTTTCGAAGGCAGGAAGGTACAAAATAGTCCACTATATTTTCAAACGTTCGTACCGAAAAGCTGGCTTTTGAGTTTCTAGCCTCTTTCTTTTGGCCAACAAAACGATATGCAATTAGTAAAGTCCCAATTTAAAATCATTCATCCCAACCCAAAATTCGTTTCATGGCCCCTTTAAGACGTTAGCTCAGTTTGGAACCGTTAGTATTACAACATTTATACCATTGACTTGCTAATGTTTAATTCTTCCGATTTTTAGAATTTTACATGACTTGAATTTTAACTGTAAGTTATATCTTTTCCAGATTTTTTTTTGGTCAACAGATGTCTGACTAAGGTGTTTGTAATAATTTTATTTCATTCATGGAATAAAGGTTTTCCCAAGAAAACGTTGATACCGCACCTTATAAAAAAAGAAAGAACAACGACATTGGAACTGGAGTTGACACTAGAGAGGTTTAGTAATACGTATAGCAGCAAACGTAAGCCCCCTACGTTAGCGTTAAGGCTGCGTCCTCCATACTGCGCATGAGCCATACTTACGTACTGCGGCGAGCTATGCGTACGTACGCTCGCTATCGCTTTTTGGGAGCGTACGTGGCGGTCCCCTGCATGCCATTCTCGTTGCTCACGTCGCTCACGGGAAAGCGCGAGACTACTCCTGTTTGGAAAATGGCGACGGGGAGGCAAACCAGTGGAAGTGCTACGCGCGTTGTGCGGGTTCGCTTCACCATTGAAGATGACCTCAACCTTGAGGCAAAAAAGAGAAAGTAGAAGAGGAAAAGGGCGAGGCTCGTGGCTGTCGAGGACACGTGGAGTTCGGAGCTGGAAACAGACGAAAGAGCCGATGCCGAGCAAGGCCTCCAACTGAAGACCCGGACCACTAGACAGCCTTGGCCTCCTCTTCATCGGACTCTGAACTTAAGTACAGACAAAACCTTCTCCCAGTGGTAGCGCTTCCCCGTGTGACTTCCTCGGAGCGAGTGGAACCTGGTCTGATTGGGTGGTATTGACAGGCGCCCCACAACCTCCTCAAAGAAATCAACGCGACCAACCCTTTCGAGCGCCCTCAAAGATGAATGTCGGTAGCCAAGAACGTTGGCAGCGCCGTCGAACCCAAAAAGGTGTTTTTTCTGCAGTCGGTACGCGGGTGGTCCGACGTATTGCTTGCCTACTTCCAAGTAAATGACGAGACCAACATAAGAGAGTAGGGATCCCGCAACACACTGGAACGAACTATACATCAAACTGCTGGTCGCACAGCCCTAAAGAAAAAGACAAAACACGTTCACAACAGGCAACTTGGAAGAGATTCAGGCACTTCGTAGCAAAGCGAAGATATTCGCAGTGCTAATTTGCCGTTACCCAATACCCGCCTTGGATTGTTTAGGGGCAGTTCGTAGGAGCACATCTAGATGCCGCTGTAAGTCTAAGTATCGTTACGTATGCGTTTGCCTCCCGCTATACTAAAAGTGCGCGTTCAATGCGCTCCGTAACGTTACGTCGACAGCTAGCGTGCGTTATACGCAGTGCTGACGGAAGGGTCTTTACGCTATTCTAAAACTCTCTATTATCATCCGGTTAAGGTCCACACTTCAACACGGTGTTCAATCGCATCAGACCGTGTTATGAAAATCAAAGACACTCGAATGCAAAAGGCCAAAAACGTTAGGCAGAGAACTTTGTGAGTACTTAACATAATCGCCTCAGGCGACTTAAAATCATCTGCCACCAGCTTGCCTCCACTCTCCATATCTTTATTTTTACTCCTTTTTATTTCTTCACGCCAAGCTGTATCGCCTCAAAAGGTTCAATATATCGTCCGTGTTGCTTTCTTCTAGGTAAACTATTTTGGACGTGAACACTTGTATTCAAAGGTCCTTGGTTTCTAAACATTTGTTTTGAAGTTTCGTAACGGTAATTTGGCCTAAGTTTTAATATGGTGTCAAAATTTGG